CATTCTGTCAGATTTTCCCCATTTTGGGCAACGGGACCCAAGTCGTCACCGCATGGGCTCCTTTTAACCGATTCCTCACCAGATGGGTTAAATGTACCCTGATTCAAACCTGAGCAAAGTTACAGTTGATTATATTTCAGACAGAAAACAAAACGTTAACACAGAAAAAGTGCTTGATTCATCTAATTCTGCAAGCAATGAGTCCTCATTTTAGTTTAACTGACAAAAAAGTCTGATTATGAGCTACAGTGTGTGAAACTGGCCTTGAGATTTCAGCATACAGGAAGTTTTTGTTAACAGAAACCACCACCTGGTTAGTGACTTTAAAATTAAGATGTCAGATCCTGGAAAAGTAATTCGTGAGTGATTTGGTACTGAGGAAAAAGCCTATCAACTCTTTATTTTAATCTGGCACTAAAAATCTTATGTTGTTGCACTTTCTCTTTACATTTGCTTGGATACACACAATCTCTGCATTGTGCCAATCATAGATTATACAAGCCATCTAATCCAGGCTGGATTCCCAATCGTGGAAAGCAGGCAACTGCCAGAAGCCCCAGATTCGTGGCATGTCAGTTGGTACAAAAGTACACTATGAACTAAGGCTAATTCTGTGTAATCCTGTGTCAAAAGAGCTTTAGATTATTTCATTTCATATTGTGCTCATATGATGGAAAACCATAACAGGTTTTGTTAAATCAAATTGTCAGAAACTAACACAAATTATTATTCCAGTGTAAGGTGCACTGTACTTGTAGAAACTTGAACGCATCAGGGTATACACATTGCAAAGAGGGCAGGAGGTGTTGACCAACAACAGATTTTTGCATCTAATGACAAAGCAAGATTGGCCATATTGATTTTGGTTATTCACCTGATAATGTAAACTTACATTTATTACTTAATGTAAATTAATACTTAAAGGAGTATCAAATATCAATCTGTAAACCTTTAGTTTACTGTATTTTGGTCAAGGCCATCCCTGAATGTTTTTCAGAGTAAAGCTGAACAGATTAGTCTAATAGTCAATCAACAGGAAATTAATCGGAAACTGTTTTGATAATCAATTATCTATTTAGTCAAGTAAAAATGCCACTTTCTTTCTTTCTCTCTCTCTCTCTTCTCTTATGGTTTGGTGTATGTCAACTTTGGTTCCGGGAAGTTGTGATGACATTTCTGCACAATTTTTGGCTTTTTATAGACAAAATGATTAATAGAGAAAATGGAAGATTAATCAGTAATTAATATAATTGTTAGTTGCAGCCCTGCTTCACACACAGTCCTATTAGTACCTGTGTTAAGTCACATCTAAAGCCTCAATTTATGGCATTTCCTCCCATTTACAATATTGAATTTTAACATAGAGAGAATTTAGAGTTAATTAATGATCCCTAATTATAAATAAATATTATAATATAGGAAATAAGTGATATGATCCCAGCCTTGTTGTCTTTCAAGACATTCTTACCAACTCAGACCACACTCACCCTCTATTAGTAGCTGAATCAACAATGAATCACATAAGGAAGAGAACAGCAGTTGCACTGATCCTAACATAAACTGTCAAACATTCTGCACTTCTCCAGCACCCACTGATGTCACTTCAGGTGTTTTGCCTTCAACGACTGATGTCACAGGCAAAACACGCATGCTCTGATGTCACTTCCTGTGATGTGACCTGTGCGCACCCTCTGATTCAGTAGGTATTTACGTTTTTTCTGTCCTCTTGCTCACCCTGACTCTAGGTTCTGCTCGAGGTTTCTGCCCGTTAAAGGGAATTTTTCTTTGCCACTGTGGTCAAGTGCTTGTTCATGGTGGGAATTGTTGGGTGTCTGTAAATAATATTACGAAAAGCACCGTCTAGACTGGCTCTGTATGAAAAGTGCCATGAGATAATTCTTTTATTTTTTAACCTGGGAGAGTTGAGTCTTACCCTGCTCTGCCTCGTGTGTGGCTGAGTTAACCCATTCCTCTCCAGGACCCATGCTGCCCCAGTCCACCACTGCTTCACTCAGAACACCAGAGTACAACTCTACAGCAGAGCAAGGCAGCAGGGCGAGAGGAGATGAAGAAAACTGGTTATACACGCATGCACAAACAAACAAACAAACACACACACACACACACACACACACACACACACACACACACACACACCCTTCTTGTGGAACATGGTGTTTCCTCCAGTATCAATCCAGGCCCTGCCAGTAACTTGATAATAATAAGGTCTGTTTTGTTACAGGAGTTAGTGTAGGCAGCTTATGTGAGTCTTCATACAGGAACAGGAAGTCTGACTTAACACTTTTTGTTACACAGATCTGATTTTCTTGGCGACAAGGTTATTGAACAATCAAAGTTCTGTGGTTACTGATGAAATCTCATTACACCGTACTCCAGCACTACAGGAGGAAGCAGACTGGCATGACAGTTTTGTTTCACTAACAATGCTTTGCTTTTGGTTCCACATTTTGACTTGTGGTAAAACTGACCCCCCCCCCCAAAAAAAAAACAAAAGGCTGCATATACTCATTGACTATATCACTCCAGTACCAAGTTTACATTCACATTAATTAGAAAGAAGTGTTTTGGATTCTTTTTTTAAGATCTTGAAGGTTGATTTCAGTGGGCCGCACTTTTTGTCTGGGGTGGAATACCTCAGGTCACAAGACTCCTATTTGGCCCACTGGTCATGTGGCTATGCTAAATCAGAGGCCTGGGGATGGTCATATGGCTGCAAAATCAAATGATGCTAAACTAAGCTTGGGGTGTTTATGTGAGACCATATTTCCATTACAAACGCATATCATCATGTTCATTAGGTTCCATAGAAAATGTAAAGTTTCTCTGGCCTCAAAGCCCTGCTCACTCCCAGTTAGCCATAGGTACGCTTTCAGAATGCAATTAACTACCTGTATAAACAAACAGTCCCTTCATCCCTCTGAGTTCAGGGATGTGGGAGTCACTGCCAGTCTGTAAAAGCTCATGTCACATTTTCAAGAAATTAATTTTACCACCTGTACCAAAATGACTGCATTTGAGGTTGACTCTGATTGTCCATAAATTAAGAGTTAAAAAAAATTTTTTCTCCAGTGCACACATAAGAAGATTTCTCAATATGGCCCGTCAATGTCAGTTATCACACTATCTACTAATGACACAAATGGTAAAACACAGTCTGACAACATGAAAGGGTGATCTGGCCCTCTTATAAACACTATTCATGCAGTAGACTTTACAGACCCTTTTATGAATTAATTAAAATATTTGTCTTAACTTGAAGCAAGCTTTATGTTATAAAGACATTTATAGCAGTGCTTTTTTACTCAGCACAGCAGAAGTGAAGATGCTGGATGGTGTTTGTGGGTTACAGGACGGTTAAACTGATTTCAGAGATCAATAGAAAACTGGCACTTTGCTGGTCTTCTACAGACACCAGAAATATGTAAAAGGCTCCTGCATTATATAGGCTACCACCAGATAGCCTCTGAGTCAGGAAACAGCATCCAGCTGCAAGACTTAATTTGGTCTGGAGTTTCCATAATGTATTCAATAAACTGTAAGACAAACCTACAGCACACTGGCAAACTGTACATCTGTGCATATCTGAAGCTTCCTGTCTGGATATTTGCTTCTTTTCAGAAACAGCTGGCCAGAAAAGCAGCACGTTATTGGTGAGCTTGTAAGAAAATAATTTTAGAAATATTGTAGGCTACTGCACAAATTACACATAACAGTTTAAACAGTGGGGTCGGCTATATGAGAATAAACAGCCAGCTTCAATAGCTCAAGAGTGACTTTCCCAGAATTTTCTGATTTACAGCCTATTTGCTTCCAAGCCCTCCAGCCTCAAAACAGTGACGTGTCTTCAGTGCAGCCTTCATTCAGCTCGTTAGCAGATCAGCAGCAAACAGAGAAACGCAGCGGCTGTTTAGTTCTGACTGAAATAAATAGTTATTTTCAACATTAACCGACAGTGACTTACCTTGTTGTCTGGTCTCCATCACAGGGACAGTCAGGTGAACTTCCCAAACAACCTCCTGAGACAGACAAGGCACGTCAACACGCGCAGCACCAGCCAAGTATATCGGGTTTCCTTGGCCGTCACGCGCTGGGTCAGCTCTCAGGCGGAGCTTGGAGCTCGAGCCAATGGACTCGCGCTGTTGTAAGTTGCTTAATTTACTTACCGGGCACATTTTGTTACAGGAAACTGCGCTTATTGGACTCAACAGCGAACTGTATTTTAATGAAATACAAAGAATAAATAAATAATGATGTGTTTGTCAGCAGCGGAGGAATAAGCGTACTGAAATAAAACTACAAAGGTATTATCATCAACATAACGTTATACTCACATATACTTAAAGTATGCCTATCAAAGTTAAATTAACTTTCGTATACATGTAGCAAAGTTCCCTTTGAATTGTAGAGGAGTTGAGGCATAACTTAGCACAAAAAAGTACTCAAGTGAAGTACAAGTACCTCAAATTAGTACTTGGATAAATGTAGGCTACTTTGCCACTGGTGTGTGTATACAATATTTCCTCTTTAAACCTCTTATCTAGTGTCTTTACTCACTGTTTACAATCCTTAACAACTACTACCACAACTAAAAAAGAATAATAACAGAATGGAATTCTGTAATAAAGGAGAATAAAGCAATTAAACGTGTAATAAAAAAAAAGTTATAATTGATTTAATAATTACTCATTTTGATATATTATTTAACCTCCAAGCAATATGAATTAATGCGGTAATGTTTTATCGGTCTGTCACTAACACACTGCATTTGCAATGTTCAATTTAAAAACCAAGGTTATGGGGATTTGCCTCCTGCAGTGCACTTATGACCTCTGCTGACATACAGCTGTAGTCGCAACAGTCTGGTCCAGTCTGATCCACACCAGCAGAGAGACATTCGTACAGGTCGTAAAGCAGACTGTCTGTGACTCAAAAACATTGAATAAATATAAATATATTAATATCAAATAAATCAAAATATGACATTTTAGCATATGACCCACTTTATTCATCATCAGATCCTCAGATGAAAACAATGTTTGTGCCTGGCTAAGTGAGCAATAACAATATCAGCAGACATTTGTAACAATGGCAGCAGAATCTGTTCTTGGTGCAAACAAGGTGCACAGTAATGAATTTTAAGACATTTCTTCAAATAGAAATATCCTTGAAAACTAAGTGGTGTAAAGACATAAATGTTGCCGTTTGCATATCTAGATGGGGAAAACATCCTGATGTTACTGATAATACACCATGTACTGCTAATATCCACAGGCCTCCTGAGTTGAAATGAATGAAAATTATGATATACTGTCCCTAACTAGACATTTGATTTGGTGACAATGACACATCTTTTTGGTATAATCACTTCCTTCACTGAGCATCTAGCAAAATGACCGGGGTTGGCTGTGCCACTGCTTCCTCATTTTATCTACAGTCCAAAGAGTGAGGTTGATATGAGCCAAAATAAAGTGCACTAAACTACAAGAGTATTTGGGATATAGCTGACACCCTGTATAGTGGTACCTCTAAATTTTTAGAGGTTTATCTTTAGCTATTAACTGTTTCAGCCAAAAAAAAAAAACACATGTTAATTGATGGCCTGATTGCACTGCACGTTGCCCTGTGTGTTGGGGTAACAGATGAATAGATCCAATAGATATATTTAACAATGGACCCACACACTTTTCTTTTACATTCAGAGCCCCATATTATAATGTATTCTGCTTTGCTTTAGCTGTTCTAACACATAACACACAGCTCAGTGAGGCTGTGACATATTTTACCCCCATTTGTAATCTTCGGAGTCACGCAGGGGCCCTGATGGCAAACCCTGATCTATTATGGCTGTGAAGGCACTATTGCATATCTATGCAAATACCACAAAGAAAAAGGCCAGGGGTATCAGCCTGCCGATACACCCCAGCAAAAGAAAAATCATTGCCCAAAATACCTCATGTAGCTGAATTAATTGATATATGTATATATATATAACTTTTCTTTTTACATGTAAAAGCTTCACCCAAACAGTTGCTTTATGTCTAGATAAATGTCAGCGATCAAGTCAGTAATATGTAAGAACACAACAACAACAAAACAAAGCACATTATGGCGTTTCCATGTGCCATCTTAACATTGAATCAGTCAGCAGAATTCTGAACACACACAAGAAAGAAACCACATATGAGGAGCAGACCAGGACAAATATCATGCTGCCAGAAAACCTTATTCATTTACATTTGTCCTATAGCTGATCAATGTAGAAGAAATTCAGATTTTAAATTACTGTCTGGCAGCAAAATTGGCAAATAAAACTGACTGTAAACCCATGCAAACGTTAGATAAATGATGTAAATGACTGATCAATTATCAGAGATATCCTTTGTTAATTTTATGGAAATAAGCTACTCAATGGGCTTATCGTTTCAGCTGTGGTAAAGTGTAAAGTGCAGGGCAACGTATTTGATAAAATGACATGGAAATAGTAAAACAATTTACGTTTATGGCATTGTAAAAAAAACAAAAACAACACTTATTAAACTAATTTGACTGCTGATGCATTTCTCTGTGCTAAAGATTTTTGTAAGTGTCACATGTCAGTATGTCACTCAAACAAAAAGAAATGCAGCAGTTCAACGTGTCAGTGTGGTACTAGCTGAGCAGTTAGATAAAACATTGATGCACATGATGCAAGTGAACAATTCTTAATTAGATAGTTTCAATATTTTTGTTTGGCGCATAACATTTCATTTCCCAGCGGTGAGTTACAAACGCATAGCTTCTTGTTCCACTTTTTATTCCCAGGTTCAACCCCCCTGAACCCCACGCAGCGTACACAACACCGAGTCATGCTGGGAAAACACAGACGTTTGCATAACCGAGGTCTCTTTTGACTACATTACAATGTTTTTACTTCCTGGTGCTGATTTCTGTGGCACAACTCGTGTGGATGGAGGGCTCTGGGGACAGTGAACAGAAAACAAACTCCCTGAGAGTGGATTCAACCCCAGAGTCAGGACCTACTGAAAGCAGTGTGTAACAAAGATCTTTTTCTGTGCCATTCAGGAACAGTTGGTATTGATGAACTCCCAGATGTTGAAAATATTTCTGATCCCTGGGACAAAAGCTCATGGCATAGCACTGCAAAAATGTCCAACATGCGTGAACACCAACTTCGTGCCTTAAATCCTGGTTTTAGTGAAAATTCAGTGATGAAATGTGCTGTCACACTCAGGATATATTCCACTGGTGAGCACTTTAAAATGCATTGAAGTGTTTGTTTCCAGTGGAGACATTTCCCCTCCATGTTTAATCATCTTATCATTCCACTTCACTGGCTTCAATGTAGCATCTCTTGTGTGCCGATATATTGTGCTCATCCTTGTCTTTTCTTTTCCTTGAGTCTCTCCATTCAAACGTCTTCATAAACATCTCATGATGGAGCAATAAAACAACAAAACTGATCACTCCATGTAGTGGTGGGACTGGGATAAACACACAAAAACACAAAATAAATCTATGGCTAATGTGGAAAACCACTTGTACTTGACCGCAGTGTGCACCACAGGTAGCTCTGTGTTATTTTCACATATTAGAGGCTCAAAAGCATCAAGTTCGGATGATTTTTTTTTTTGTGGCTGAACACTAGCCACAGCTCCAGTGGATGCGCACTCATTTTCAAAACTAAGGACTGACAGCAGGGAGGAGAGGATAGAGGGATAAGTGAAGGACAGCAAGCTGAGTGCTACCAGGTGACGGCCTTTAAAGCTCTCGAAAATCTCCTGTTCCCTGGCAGCACTCCATGTGTGTGCTTTCTTGCAGTATGTGCCAGTGTGAATGAGCCAAGAGGGCATATGTGTACGTTAAAAAAACCACTACATCACAATCCAAACTCTCAAGCAGACTGATGTCCTCTTATCACTGCAAAAAATCAGACACTAAACCGAACTCTGCATCAAACATTCAAAACCTGATCACCTAATTATTAACATCCTAATTTAATATACCACATATTCAGTGCACAGCAACCTGATGGTAACCTGATGGAGTTAATTTCTTTAACTTAACACCACGTTTAGCTCTTAAGCAAACCATCACCCAGACTACATAAAAATGAAAAGTTACATCTTAAATACTTTATTCTGTTTATCTACAGGTACCATTTGCAATAGTATGTTCAGTCATTTAATCCGGGAACTATCTACAGCTTGTGTAATCTGATAGAGCCTCTACGTCTATTTATTCATGCAGACTCCACTACACACTGACAGCATCACCGCCCCAAACCTCTGCAACAGGCATCCCCTACAAAACAATAACAACAAAAAAAAAAACAAAGGGACAGGCCTGTCCTGCCACATTCAGCAATTTGTTTTGGCACAATTGCCGCACAGCAGCTATTTATATTATTTATTTTTTTTGATGATGCAGATACTGGCAATACAGTATGGGGCCACAGCAGAGAGACGACCTGCCAGGCAGGGAGGGTGTGTGTGAGCCACCATCCAGCCAGGCAGATGGCGAGGAAGATGGGGACAGATAGAAGGTGGGGAAACAACAGAAAACAATGGAGGCTCCCAAACATTCCACTTGGCGTTGTCAATATTTAATCTAGGGGTCAGTGGGCTGGCTGTGTGTTTGCAAACAGGACCCCTTTTTTAAAGCGTAGGATTAGAGTTAGGTGGGGACACATGACCCAACTTTCAAGTCAAGGTTATCCAGGTGGGCCAAGAACAGTTCAGCAGCATCATTCCATCCTTCCAAGTTCAGTCCTCTCATATTATTTTGAATAGTGAGTGCTCAACTCAAATCCCATTCAGTTTCCATCTTGCATTTTTCCCTTGCCAATTGCAGCACAAACAACTGAAGCAGCTTTTGCAAAAGTTCAGCAAGGAAGATATTATTTCCTCACATTTCTCTGTTCATCAGTGAGCTCCTATTCTTTTCAGTCGGGGTTCATCATTTCCAGTATCTTACTCAAACATTTAAAACCTTCTACTCTCAGTATTCATACAATAGCATTTCATCATATCAGGCTAACCAAAAGGCTCCAAGCGCACTCCTTTAGCACATTCTCTCTAGTGCAGGGGGTAAACAAAACTGCATCTGTCTATTATTTGAGTTTGTTCTCCTGAAAGAAAGATAGCAGTTGTTAGAAGAGTCAAAATCAGCCAACAGACACGGCTAAAACTTCCTACAATGTGTCTGGGACAAGGGTTGGCCACCAAGAGAGTTATCTGCCTAAAACGGTTGGCGGCTGTGAAATTTGGTTGAGATTTAAGGGAGTCAAACATTTCCATCGTGTGAAGAGCACTATCCGAGACAGTGGTGGAGTAGCCAGTATAACCTGATGAAAGAATTCCTTTTGCAGCAGTGGTCTCATTAGATACAAAATGCTTGTGTGATCATCCAGGCATCATTGCTCTATTAGTTTATGTACGCCGCTAATTGGTATTGTTAATTTCAGACTTTCCGCAATGACTCAGGCAGGCGTGTTCATCCCTGAGGAGATTCGGGCGTTGTCTTTCAAGCTGTGTGAGCCTGGCCTAGATGAAAAGCAGAGCAGGTTTCAAATCCAGCGCCCGGAGCCCTGTGTGCGCTGCTTCTTCCTCCTCTTACACACATAGTAGACCGGGAAAACGACCAAACCTGCAGACAGGAAGGAGGGGTTGTAGAGATAAAAGCAGAAGGCGGAGAAAGATGGATTAACGCACACCATCCTTGTTTCTAAAGTCACTAATGATTATTTTAATAAACTATTCATTCATGTACAGTGTAAATCTTGAGTCATTATAAGCCCTGATGAGTTTTCTGTATGGATTTGATTTGATTATTCCATCTTACAGCGCACGGCAAACAGATTTGGCCAAAAAAAAGAGAGAATTGTAGGGAGACGGCAACACGGATTCTAATAACGATGAAAATAAATATGAATCTGCCATCTTGGCATGTTAGCCTGCAGCAGCTCATCTGTCAGACGTACAGACAGCGGAAAGAGATTAACACTAATTACAGTTCACCTGAGGCATCAGCAGTTCACAATACTATCTGACAGAGTGCACACAGAGTGCAGTGGGATGATAATACTAGTTAATGTAGTTTCCAGAATTAAAAGCCAGCGACCCAGAGAGTGACAATCTGGATCTGCAGATTTTGGCATTTTAAAAACAAGAACCGTTTCCTTCTCTTTTACACGAGGACATGTGCACGTTATGTTCATGCATCTAACTCAGAATGTCATGCATGCAAAGATGTGTTTGTGGCATGATTATGTTTTTTTTTTGTTCACATAAACAGTGCACCTGCTTTGCAGTGCGGAGGAAAATCTCTGTCAAATAGAGTCAGACCATTTTGCTGGTCTATTCTGGATCTTCAACCTGATTAATGTGCATGCGTGTTCATGCGTATAATTATGTTACCTATCACCAGCGCGAGGGCTCCGAGCACCACGACCAGCAAAGTGACCACTGGAGCTATCAGCAGCTTAGTGGCTGCAGAGAAAAACAGGAAGAGAGAGAGAGGGGCAGAGCAATAATTAAACTTAATGAATAAAAGTCAGATGGAATAGAAACTGCATGACTGAAAATAATGCGTATTGCTACATTTTGTTGGAATTTGAATGCAACCCTGCAGAAAATGTAAGATGTTTGGCCACCACTGCATCAATTCGGCTGTGGAGGTTACTGAATGCTAAGCAGATTTTAAGGGAAATCATCAACTCCATCTACAGTAAAATGCGAAATCTGTGCGGCTAATGGTCCATGGCATGAAGACAGCGACGAGAGCTGTAATGGGTAACTAGTTCTTGTTAAGGGACAAATTAGCTCCCAGTTAAAAAGGCACCCCACTGATTTGACTAGCTGTAGCTGTCATGGAGAGCAGGGTCAAACAAATCTAGGAGTTCAATTTCCTGGAGGCTTGATGGTGCATGCATTTGACAAGTGTGAATGGATAATTACGACAAACATAATCTGATACGTGAGGCTTTCACACTTCATTACAAAGCTCTCCTCAGTGGCCTGTGCAAGTACAAAGTTAGACATGGAAGTGTTCATTGCTGAGGTAAAGTCATGACTGTCACAGATAAGACACAGCGGTTTGCTCTCAGTAGTAGCTACAACAGGCCATTAGGCAACACAGCAACAACACTCTAAGGCTTTTATCCAGTACATGACGACAAAGAAAAAACTATTACACTGCTATTTCTATCACTGTTGCTCTCTCTAATCTACAATTATAATCCACAGCTGAGTGCAACATGGTAAGGCTGTTTTATTTAGGTCACAGGCAACTTAGGAAAACACTTACTAAAGCAGACTTACAGAAAAATAAAGCAGGCTGAGGGAATGTGGGTACACCAGAAAGGTAAACTGTTTATTACCAACAATCGTTTACTGCCAAATAACTCATGAGATCCACCAAATATGGCAGTAGACGCAGTAGCTGCCATACTGGCTGGTTTCAAAGTATGAATATGCAGCTGTATTAATGTAAAATTCAACATCTGACTGTATGATATCCATGCTAGCATCTCTTTGAGGCTATACTGAGACACAGCGGTGCTATAAGCAAAATAATGCTAACATGCTCGCAATGACAATGTTAACATAGTGAAGTCCAGCAGCAGGTAAAATGTTTACAATGTTCACCATCTTAGTTTAGCGCGTTAGCATGTAAATATTTGCTAATTAGTAATAAACACACAAATGCAGCTGATGGGAAGGTCATGAGTTCTGCGGGAATACTGTCCTTTTTGGACATGTTTATTATATAGTTTTTGTTTTTTTCGTCTATTTGTGTTTACTATATATTTTTTCTTGACATGTTTGAAATAAAGCCTTCATTCACTCATTCAAATTGAATGTTTGACCTGACAGTGTTGCTAGAGCGAAAAAAGTCAGAGGATCACCAATGTCGGTAGGATTCATCCACTGGGCACCATGAGTGTCTGTGAAAAGTGTCACAGCACCCATCCAACAGTTGTTGAGATATTTCAGTCTCGACCAAAATGGTGGACCAACAGACCAACATTGCCATCCCTAGATCCACGCCGCTAGCATGGCTACAAATTTAGCACTATCTGAACAGGGTACAGATTCGGGACTCTCTTTACAGACACAAACACACCAACTTACCACAGACGGACCCTCTGATTAGCCGTCTCAGATGAGGTTTATTAGGTAGATAGCGATACTTGCATCCAAACACGCTCAGGTTGGATGTGTGGTCTCCAAAAAACCTGACAACAGGAAGTTTTAGATGAAATCATATCATCATGTAGAAAGAGTTGGAAAAGGCAGTCAGAGAAAACCAAGTAAAGTAAATTATTCTAACCTTAGGTGTCGGTAGCGCTCTCCACAGCGGTAACAGAAGTTAGTATTACACTGCGTACATGTCATGTGGTCACACCCCTCTGTACGTTGAATATGAATCTACAGACAGACGGAAGTAGAAAGAACAGGCAAAAGCACGACGGCAGGGGTAAAAAAGAAGAGTAGTCTGTTTTCAGATAAATACTATACATTATATTGATAAAGAACTACATGCAATATGGCAAAAGTCAGAAGTTCTAGTTTTAGCTTTAGCTTAGCCCAATTTAAATATATATTATCTTCTCCTACTAGACTCAAGATCATATTATAATGGTGCTTTTCAGCTTTGTTTATTGTAAAATGGTAAAATCCCCCATCTTAGCAGCACTAAAACCCAAAACTAACCCAACTTACTCCTATTTTTCGCACTCCTATATGCCTACACTTAATGGATCTTTGCTTTTTTGGCTGCTGTGGCAGCGAGCAGTCCTAGTATAAACTGGGTATTAAGTTTAGCTGCTCTCAGCCTCTTTTCCAGCTAAACACAGCATGACGCCAATTTGTGGGCTTCACAGTCAAACAAGATCCTCTCTCCCTGCTTCCAGAGCAGAAACCCAGAGACATAGAGCACCAGTGCAATGAACACAGATGGAAAGTGTTTGCTGCTGTGAGCAAACGGTTTCCATATACCGATAATTAGCTTAATCTATGTCTTGCTTTAGTCATCTTCTGACAGTCAAATTAGATATTGTGTAGACTAACTTGGTCGTAATGGGACTGTCAGGCACGCTTTATGACTTTGAGTCCACCAGATTTGGTTTTGTGCAGTATTATTTGTTCAATACGTTCACCGTCTCTGCATCGCTGTTCTGTGGTTCCACATGCACTTGCAAATCTGTGCGTCCATCTAGTTCTTTGCAGCTCTCCATCCATCATCTGTCCTCGCTCCCATGCTTCTTAGCCTTCATTGATTTATTCATCTACAATGATTCCACCCTCCATCAGTCAACCCTCTTTCCACTTACACACACCCATCCTACATGCGACAACGCAGCATCGTAATATATTGAATCCTTTACCATCTTACCTTGCACCGTGGACATTTCTGGGCATTTCTTTGTCCGTGCTCTATGACACTAGCCCAGCTTCGCAGCAGCTTGTCTCCTCTCCTGTAGTCACGACATTTGACCCCATTGTGCCATGGTGCGTGGCATTTAAAGCACCACACAAACTGGCAGTTGCTACACTGGATCTACAGTAGGAACAGGAGAAAGTAGACACTTGGGTACGCTGCTTTTTAAAGCTGTATGTGGGATTTGATTATGTTCCGTGCAGTTGGAGGCCAGCTCATCGCAGCTGAGCATCTTACCTTGTACTTGTGCTCGGAGCGGTTGGGGTTGTGCTCCTTCAGAGAGGTGAACTGACTGCACTGGGGGCAGGGCTTGGTGCTCGAGTCCAGCTGACTCAGCTCCAAAAAGTAACGATATTTTGCCACGTCTTCATTGGCTAAATGGGAAATCACCACCCCCTCCTCCAGGTAGCCACTGCACTCTGGGATCGGACAGCTGATGTAAGATTTGGCTACGCGCACCTGGGAAGACAAAAGTGGTTGTCATTGCAGGAAACCCTGATTTCAAATGGATTCAAGCAACAAGACAAAGAATACATGTTCAAGTATATGAAAGTAAAGACTATAACATAACATGTCTTTGTGTGCATCATGTCTATCTGCTTCAGAACTGATTTTAAGATCCTTTTTATTAGTTTATAAGGCTCTTAATGGTCTTGGTCCTGAATATTTATCAGATTTGCTTCCAGAGCCCTCTGGTATTGGCCTTTTAACTATTCCTAAAATCTGGATGAAAACTCACTGAGGTGTCCTTTTATCATGTCCCACGTGTGTGGAACAGCCTTCCTGAGGACTGGAGGGCAGCAGAGAACGCTGATATTTTAAAAACAAAATAAAGACCTACCTTTTTAACCAGGCTTTTAGTTGAATTTATTTATTATTTATTCATTTATTTATTTATCTATGTACTTACTTTTAAGTCTGTTTAACTGACACATTCTTTAATTCAATTTAATTCTCATGTTTCCTTATTTCTATGTTGATCATTATTTTTAATATCTTGTTTTTATTATTTTATTTTTATAATTTTAATGTTATTATGTATTAGCTTTATTTTACTTTTCTTTTAATGCCTTATTCTGCCTCTAGTGTTCCCCCTTGCAAATTTGAGTTTTATGCTGGAAGTGGCCATTCATGATAGCGTTTCCTCACCTCATGTTTTTAGTGTCTTTAACTCTGTGTGTGTGTGTGTGTGTGTGTGTGTGTGTGTGTGTGTGTGTGCGTGTGTGTGTGTGTGTGTGTGTGTGTGGAGGGGGTGGTGTGACATTATTGTCATTGTCTTTGTTTTACAGTATTGTGTTACATGGCCGTTGAAAAGTGCTATACAAATAAAGATTGATTTAATGATTGATTGATCATGGAATAGAAACGGAGTGTCACAGAAAGCACTGACTACTAATGCAACATCACCTTCTTCACAGAGTGTGTGTGTGTGTGTGCGCACTTTGGGTCAGTCTATGGTGGTTTTTCTGTTATTGTGAGGGACTATCAGAGCCAAATCTACATGTGGAATATATTCACACCGCTAACAGGAAATGGTTAATAATTTACCAACAGAGGGAGTTAAAGGCAGATGAATGGAAGTGGTGGTGGAGAGAGTGGAAGTTAATACTCTATTTATTAAGGGACACACACCGACACACACTAGTTAGTCCAGACCAAGAGCTCATCAGTCAGTTATACTTACTGGACTTACTTATCCGCACACAATTCACTACCTTCAGGGCCTGGCATTTTATTGCGATAAATGATACAAGTGATGCTCTCACTTTACGGTCCACATTTTCATAATCTCACTATACTCTGTAACATAAGAACACACGTTTTCCATTATTAAAGTTCACACCTGGGTTCAACAAGAGCCAAAGAAACACGCGTTTGTTCAGATCTCATCTAATCTGACCTACGATACAGTAAGTGTGAGAGGGAAGCTTCCAGAGACACTTCCACAGTTAAGTTCACCTCTTGTTCTCGTTTCTTTTTCACCATCTAGCCTAACTCCTCTCAGGGCATTACTTCTTCTCTAGTTGCTTCTTTCTTTGTCTTCTCATTTCATTCACACCATTTCAGTCCATCAAAGCCAGAACGACCTGTCATACTGAAACATTATATGGCATTTTGTCAGAGTGTGTGTGTGTGTCTGTGAGAGTGTGTGAAATGACAGCAAACAGAAAGTCAAGAACAATAGCATCAGCCTCTGATGGTGTTACACCCAACATCCCCTACAGCACATATGCACACACACAGACTAAATGCTTTTGCATGATTATGAAAATGTGTACGCAGGCATGAGAGCTGATGTGTTGGTACTGTTGTCACAACACTAACGCTGTGATGACCACTGCCAGACTAGTTGAACAAGTTAGGACCTCTGCCACTCTGTCACAGACACGCGTCACTCTTTGTGGTTTGTTTAAAATGTATGTGCCTCGTTTTGCATTTTCATGTCATAAGAGAAAACATAAGCCAACATAAAGCCATTTGCATGATTATAACAGTAAAACTATTTAGCTTACAATGAGCATATGACGGCTCCAGGACAATTGTGCCACTTACCTCAATCGTGGCTAAAGCTAGTATTACTTAGTGTCAGTATGTAGTGACAATCTACTTTGCTATTTCTAAGATTTTTGCACATTGTGCGCAACTATGAGTATTTGTATACCCAGGATGTACTTCTGCTAAACTTTGTTATGATGTGATTAAAAAACATGTACAGATGTTTGTAATAGGATAGGGACAACAATAAACAGCCAAACAGGATTACAAATCAGTGTGATACAGGTTTTTACTATATAACCAGTAAATTGCCCATTAACCTGAGTCAGTTGTAACACCTGAACACCACGTTACCATTGCAAGTGCTTGAAAACTAGTTAGCATGTGAGTACAGAAGTTAAAATTATAAAGTAAATGTAATGGTTAAATGGCTAAAACAGTTAGCCAAACGTAATGGATACGCAGCTGAAATAACGCTACTTAGCTTAAAGTATGGGTAAACAGTTGATTTAGTTAGCTACAAGTAATTAAAAACTGTTGAAACAGTTGGCTAAAAGTAATAGATAAGCAGTTGAAATAATGTTAGTTAGCTTAAAGTATGGGTAAACAGTTAGTCGTTAGCTACAGGTAGGATAAACAGTAGAAATAGTTAGCTTAAAGTGATGAAAAAACAGCTAATAGTAATGGCTAGACAGTATAAATAGCTAACTAAATGTAATGGATAAATTGTTGAAACTTCCAGCCTCTGCCACTCCAAGTGGTAGTAGTAACAATGCAAACTTGACCAAAGCTTAAACATTGACAATTCAGTTGAATGGGAAATATGTTGTAAACTTTTGATAACAAGATGTAACAAGATCCACTTTTATATAATCAGCAGTGTTACGTAACATCCAGTTTATAAGACCATATTTGGGACATGACGGGTGCTGCTGACGAGGGAGTACTTGTGATTACCTGATGGGGTTGTGGGGGCTGGTATGGACAAAGATGGTTGGGTTAAGAGAAGTGAATCTAAACACATCTGATAGGTTACGGCAGAATGAATTGTATATTGTCATTTCAAACAAGCAAAACTGACAGCTACTATTATCCCTATTCATAATTCTAATTCTAAACCAAACAATATTGACTTGACCTGACTTGAGGAGGCTGGTAAAAAAAAAAAAAAAGTAATTGCTGGTTTAATCCCTGGCACCACAACATGGTTCGGCACCAAACCAGCATAATCCACTCTCCTGTTGCATCCATCTACCCTGCCTGCCATCCCTGCCCAAAGTGCCCATAGGCAAGGTACTGAATCCCATCCCAGGGTCCTATCTGTGGCCTCTGATCTCTCCGATATAACGCTTACTGTACCTACTGAGGTTTAACACCAAGAATGAGCACAAAAATAAGTTTGCATTTACATTAACGGGAAAGGAAATTCCACCTACACAAGATAGTTTACATGACCCTTATCTTATTCTCAGTGTGCTTATCAGAGAGTCTGCTTGTCTCTGTGTTTGCATGCTTATTCATGACTTGTTATCAAAATAAGATAATTGCAGATAAAAATGAGCCTGGGTGACTGATAAAAACTTTTATCTCAACAGACTAAAGCAGATTATAGTAACAGTAGCAAGGACCTAAAACTGTAACTTGTCTCCAACTTGTAAAATATACATAAATGGGGCAACATCCAAGTTTATTAAAACTGAGATTATGATCAGAAGATTGCTGATTAGTACCAGTTCATGAACAAGGCATGAATGTGAAATCTTCCTTAAATAGGTGAGTGGGAGAAGAGGACATTCTGCTGAAGAACAGCACACAAAGTAAGCTATTGTGAAAACCATTCCTGCCCCCAATTTTAGTGTAGAATGTGTCAGTGACCCAGATCCACAGAAAAACAGTAGTTATCACAAGATAAGAAGACCTGCAGATGTTGTTGACATTTTAGTAACAACTTCATGAAACCTTGCCCTTATTAGACCCTTGATCAAAACACTTGCTGTATAGGATTGCTCAATGCCAGCTCCTGGTGAGGGCCCTGAGTATTTTTTTTTTTACCAGTTCCCAGAATTTTTAGCCATGCCCCTGCCTTGGTGTAAGTTACAGATGCCAAACACAATAACAGGTGTGAGGACTGTGTCTTCACACTTGTTATCATTTTGGTTGCTCAAGGACAGCTGCTGACCTACCCAGCAAAGCCTGGTTCTGGGGCAAGCTCGACCTGTGACAGCCAGCTGCACTATCCACCCCACCCAGTCTTTTCTTCTTTTTTTGTGCTCACCCTCCCTCCTACCAACCTGGGAGCTGACGTAGAGTTTCAGACACTCATCACACACGGCCTTCCTGCAGCAGGGCAGGGGTGCGATGGATTTTCCTTCCAGGCACACCCGGCAACTCTGCATCGTAGTCTCTGCATCGGCCTGCTCCGTGGACAGTCGGTGGGCCATATCCCCGAAAGGATCCACCAGATCCTCCAATGTGTACAGTGCCGGTTCGGGGCTCGAATCCGCGTCCTGTGCTGTCTCCAAGTGCATTTCTGTTGCGTCAGACGTGCCCGTTTCATCGCCTGTGATTTCAACGTCTTTTCGATGACCGTCGTTAGCGATGCAATACACAGTGCAGTAGACGTGTTCTTTAAAAGACTCTTCTAACTGAAGTGTGTTGCTGTCACTGTCACACGTAGGACGGCGCTGACCTGTAACGGCTACAAACTCAACTCCTTGTACATCCGAAGTCGTCAAGTCGCTCAGGGTTGGCTCGTTTCCAGTCCCCGCTTCGCCCGTCTGACGCTCCGTTTTGTTACACTCGCCACGCTCGCCTCCATAACCGTTTGTAACGTCGTTATTAACGTCTCCTTCGTGGCTGTCGCCGCGCTGCATCCGAGTGTTTGTGTTTAAACGGAGAGAGGGAGATTTCGAAACCCCGAAATTCCACCTCAAAATCTCGACAGCGCTCGGCCTCCGCCTCTCTCCTCCTCCACCCCCTCCTCCGCCGTTGCAGTTGTTGTTGTTGTTGCCCTTCGCATCCTTCTCGTCCTCGCTGTCCCTCTCCTCCGACTCCCTCTCGCCTCCGTCCAGGGATAACCCCGAGTTTGACCTGGTGACACGGCGGCTCAAATCTTTGACCGACCGCTCAACTTTGCTGCCCGTGAAGGAAGTTTCTGTCGGCAGGTTGCGGGACAATTTCACCCTCCCTTCTTCGAAACTGCCAATAAAACTCGGCATTGTACAGTCGTCAGCTATCGGTCCGTCATCTTCCATCCCCGATGTGGCTCTCCCCATTTAGCGAGCAGCTTTCTCCCGCACGGACCTCCGCCTATTCCCTCTTATCCAACTCCTGCTACCAAAACAAAGCAGAGCTGGCACCTCGGGGCTTCCGGGTCTCGTCGTCAGCATGTAGGAGAGCAGCGATAGGCCGATGGGAAGCCTGGTGGTGGACCGCAGCCGTGGCAGACTGGCAGGAGCAAATGTCACAGTGGATGCAAAGCTGCAGCTGCTTCCTGCATAACAAATAAGACCTGAAGAGTACATTGGTGGCCTGAGCTGCTTTCTGCACCGGGCCCCCAGAACTTCAGTGTCAAAATCTAATTTCAATACCATAATGATTTAGGGTTAGGTTTTTTTTTGTGTGTGTAAATATGATGCATATCCCTACAATAATGTGTTATTAATTATCACACATTAAACCTGCTGAAGTACAACAGCAGTTTTGCCAAATTTGGTGGCTGCAGTGGATTGTAGTAGAAACAAGTGTATCAAATTTTACCACTTAACAACAGCTTTACAAAGTATTTCAATTATTGGTCCAGATGTATTAAAATACTCAGAAGTAAGGGCAGAACTGGGTCATCATAAATGCAAAATGCAATTTTTTTTTTAACTTACTTTTTATCCCGTTGGACAAATAAAATGTGGAGGACGGAGTACACACAGAGACACTGTGCAGTTTTATTTTGCAAGTTTCAAATTTGACAAAACTATCTTAAGTCCACCTACTAACTTTCCCAGGTGCTTTCAACCACATGATGTGAGATGTGGTTGAAAGCTGCGGAGTAAGCGAGTAAGTGGACCTTGCGTTAGGATTGTTGTCTAACTGCTATTTCCAAAGCAGAGCATGTTGAACACACACAACTTTATAAAAACCCTCATCACTAGTCACTAAGAGTAAAGAGGGCTGGAGATTCTCAACTATTGCTGCTGTTGCCGTTCTTGCTAAAAGGCCCTTTCCACCACAGACATTTTCACGTCATAGCAGGAAAAGCACAGGTGTGAAACTAATTTGTTTATGGTGGCACAGTTCCATCAAGTGTCCCAGTGAGCCATGGTAGTGAGCCAGCATGCACAATACCAGGACCCTGCAACTGGCTCAACTAAATAGAATGCATTCGCTTTTAATATTCATAACAACACATGTGCCTTTTTCCTGCTATGACATGCCAACATCTCTGCGTCACACCTCAAACTATCCTTGTGAAGTTTATACTGTATATGGTGGTATACCTCAAACGTTTGCCAGTTTATCCATGTGTGCACTTCTGCTCTGCCGCTGGACTCGCTCGCTGAGCAAGACACTGACTCTCAGTTTAAGCAGTTTTCATCCTCAAGAAAAAAATGTAACTGAAGAAATCACATTATTATTCTCACTACTGCACCATTACTAGGGGTAGTAGTGATGTAGTAACAGCAGGCTAGTTCCAGGCTACATATAGTTTTTGAAAGGTTGTAGACCCATTACTTTTCATTGCATCACACACACAATTCTCATCTTTATAAAATTCCCCCTTTTAACCAGAATTCATTTCATTTTGGCACTTGAACACATAAGACTGAAAGTAATTTGGGCGGACACATTTTTAGTTCAGTGCTGTTGGCACAACTTTCAAATAAGCCTAACTGGGGCGCCTGTAAAACGGGTTGTTAGCTCTGTTACAATTTCTCATTAATGCCATAGGGCGCGAGCCACACTGTAATTAGTTTGCTTGTCCTGGCTGTGCCCAATTGGTTTTAATGGAGAATGCCAACAATGTTAAAAAGTCATTACAAGCACGTAAAGCTAGAAATCCCATCAGACATTTTTTTCTGGAGTGTGCTGTTCCACATTAAACAGGTCAAATACAAATAAATATTTAAAGTACTTTACATTTACTTCATCTTAAACTAAGCCTAATGCATCTACATAAAGAGGGCTTTTCTTTCTCCATTAAAAGGTGTTCAGTCTTCGGTGGGTAGATGTTTCATGTTTAACATTAGCACCGTTATTCTCAGGGATTTAACAAATTAATTTACCTCTGAGTGCTACTCTGCTCCTCTTACTGATTACTGGTACATTTCCCCTGCAAAGGAACAATAGTGTTCCTAACAATGGCTGTATGTGTGTGTGTGTGTGTGTGTGTGCGTGTGTGAGTTCAGCTGTCTTTTAGGACTCTGTTTCAACAACTTTAACTTTATTTTAGTCATTTTAGAAAGTAGATTTTCTAAAGAACTGGAATACTAAAAAACACTTTGCTGGACATAAAAGACACCATCAACACCCCCCCAAAAAAACTCAAGACTGTTTACATGCATAATGTAGCAAATGTAAATCATTTGAAGTAATACAAAGTAGAGAAAAATGAGTGAAGGATGTCAGAGAACAGAGGACTCAGTATAAACTTTCCTTCTCCACTGTCTACTTTATTCCCAACGGTCTAGTTTATGTACAGCCAGTCACCTGTGGGAAAACCATCACAAAAAGAGAAGGAGTTAAACCAACATAGATGGTTCTAGTCAGTGGTGAACATTCACAAATCAACCCAGAGCCACAGAGACAGTTTGGATATTCCTGTTTTCACTGACAGTTAGCGGCACGTTCCTGCATTGACGTACTGACACTGTGAAAAGTTGCTTAATGTATTATGATAATGTGTTATTGCACTTTCTAAATGCTCCTCTACCATAATTGTCTCTGCTTCGGCAGCAGAAAGAATGTTTCAGAGACGATTTGTAGGAACATTAGACATTTTTGTTCATTTTCTAAGATAAGCAGTTGTCTACTATGTACATAAGGAAGCAGAGCTGGACTGTGGAGTACCTCAGGGCTCTGTCCTGGGTCCTACACTTTTCTCTTGTGTGATGTTTCTACAGGATCATGTGCTGTAATTTTCAGCATTCTACCTTGTTCTCGTTGCAGCTGTTTCCTAGTTAGAGTAATTGTACAAAGAACAATGACAATACTTTAAGACCCTGAAAATGTATTTTGTCAATCAGCGTCTTAAATATATGATAGGATTCCACATAAAGAAAATGTTTTTCTGTTGAGTTAGAACAGTTTTGGGTTTTTTTTATTGTCTTAAAGTGGATGTGGCTCAGATGGCAAGAGGTGATGGCATGTACGGACCAATCAGGATTTTGCAATGTTAATGCTTATTGTACTCAGTCAAATCTGGTCAAGCCATACCCATAGTATATAGTTATAAATATTTAAGATTATAGAGAAATACTTTTTTAAGTTTGTGGGGGCTTTAAATGGTTGAACACTTCAAAACATTTGTCAAAACAGTTTAAATAAAGCTGAAGATTCTGCATTTTGTTCATCAAATTCAAAATTGAATTTAAAATCTTGTGAAAATGTAGCCCACAGCATATATGTATTTCCCTTTTATTACCTGTATTCTCCTGTCACTACTGTAAAGCTTCATAATGGAGTAGCTATATTTTAGCCCAGACTGAGAGACGATGGCTTGACTGAATGTTTATTGACACCATTCAACAAAACAGTAACTTGACTCCAGCTTCTTCTGCAAATGTTTAACTCTTTATGTACCCATGTGCGTTCTTAGATCTACAGACAAAATCTCTATTGACTGTTCAAAGTCTGAATATGATCAAGCATCGGTGAAGATAAAGATAAACCATGAATTATGTAGATTCTGTCTTTATTATTACTTTAAAATACATTATTACTGTTGTTATTGCTGTTCATTAACAATCTTTGATTCAGTTCCTCAATTTCCTTCAGTTTAATTTGTGTTGACGTTGTGGCTTTCCAGGATCTGGGTTAAGTGTCGTTCAGTTCACCATGACACAGAAAAGTACAATGTACAGCAGTACAAAGTCTAACACGCGCACGCACGCAGTTTGCACACACACACACACACCCCACACATTTGGGTCACATTATATATCTGAAATCCTTGAATCTCTGAATAATTGCTTTAGTCTGTTGTTATATCTGCTGGATTGGTGTTCAGGTTGATATTGGTTCCACAAAACCAGGTAATATCGAACTGATCGACTCTATTAAAGACGGATAAATGAAAAAATTCACTTTCAGTTCAAATAGTGTCTTTTGCTAATGACCAACTATCTTTTTCAATTAAGCTTGTAAATAATAGACATGTGACCCTTTTCACCACATTAGCTCCTCATTGAATTCTGCAAAAACACACTTCGTGTGCAGTCATTGTTATTTATTAAAAAGCTATGTGTGGTGTTGGATGATAATTCAAATATAAATTCATTTTGTAAAGTTAATTATGTGCTGAACTGAAAGTGAATTTCTGGCCCTGACAGAATGGTTAATGAACGAATTACAGACTATAGTGCAACTAATTCTCTTCCCCCCCATTCTCCTCTTACGCTCTCATGTCAAATACGCTGTACAATTAGAAGAAATAAAACATAGTAGTCCCACTTGTACACAACATTATACATTAGTAGTCAACTAGAAAAAACAGTAAACACGGCCACATGTGATTAAAAAACGTCTAGAAGTTCAAAGTTACATTTCATTGTTTTACATTACCTATTTTTCTCCTGTACTCAGCAGACATTTCAGACTGTGTTATTTATAGAAAAAAATCACAAAGTTCACATTTAGGACTCTTTGATGAGAGTTGAGGAGCATTCAACAAGCCAAACAGTTCCCATTTTAAGTAGCTTAGTTAGTCACACGCAGCATGAGATTAAATATGCAACAGTTTGGAAACACCTCATGCAAACACACGAACGTTGTTCTGTCCTTCAGAGTGAGCGTCAGTGAAGCCTCACGGGGCAGCGACTCTGAACGTAACCCACAGATTCGTTACAAAACATGAACTGCTGAAGATAAGTGGCAGACGGGGGTGGAAGGTGGACTTTGAGATTGGTTTATAGAGGGAAATAGCCTGTTAGTCCATCCTTTATGTCAAGAGAAGCCGTTGTTTTGGCTCAGAAATGTTCCTTGGTTGACGGAGAAGGCCTCAAACTTTTGGTCCAGTTATTGCAACATAAATGCAACATGTTCAGTCAAGTCTCCAGAAGGAATCAGTTGATTTTTCTAAGCAGAATAAAAGTGAAAACCTGCTGGCCGCCTGGAATGCAAATGTGAATTTTTTGATTTGTAATATCCTCGCTATTTTTCTTACACGGGAACTCAAGAAAAGAGAACCTGAGACCTGTTATTTTCTGGTCCCAGCCTGTGGCTTTCAGAAACCAGGCTCTACAGATGTCCACATAGTGGTACAGTAGTTGGCACTTTCAACATTTAAATTCGAGTAGTGAAGTGAAGAGGGGGAGCTGCTAGGTCTCCGGCATCTCACTGATATCATGTTTATCCTCGTTAGCCTGCAGGCGAGTGCAGAATCATTGAAGATTCAGCCTCTGTCGTCTCATTTCTCCTTCTTTTGTCTCAATCTTTGTCCACCGGTAAAAAATGTTTCGCTGTTCTCACACGATGACAGCCATTTTTCAGCTTTGTGTCACTTATTTTATGGTACAGAAAAATGCCAAACCATCACAAGATTCAGGCAACTCTGACTGTGATTGTCATTTCTGTAAAGTGTGTGCCTTTTCCCTTATGTAAGCGTTGCCTGTGGACTGTATGTTATTACAAAGAGGTGGATGGTGAAGATTAGGCTGATTGGGCACTTGAGTTGGCTTCCAGCTTGTTTTTTACTAATTCTGAAAAAAAGGGGAAAGGTTGTCTGCTGACAGAGACGAGCGAGTGACAACAGAAGCTTGGCACTGAGAGCCTGGTGTCTATGAAAGGACTGAGCTGGAAGGGAAACTGTTGACTGAGCTCAATCCCTCTTCTGTGGTTGTTTTTTTTTGTCATGTTCTGTTTCTATCTACCCCTACCAGCCTGTCTTGGATGGAAGACAAAATATTTAGACAGCAAGAGACCAAAAGACACATCTGGAACTACTGTCCTGTCTGTATTAATATGGCAGAAAAGACCCCATGGCCTTTAGGAGGCTGTAGCTGAAAAGTCTCATGTATGTCTTCCAGTCTACCTGTCTGTCAGGTGTTCAGCCTTTCTGTCAGGCAGACTGAATTTCTATTGTAAACATTAAGATTCACATTAGTAGTAAAAAAGTTTTATATGCTGTGTGTGTGTGTGTTTGTGTGCATGCATGTGTGAATTCACATATGCCTTACCTAATGCCTGTGTGTGTGTGTGTGTGTGTGTGTGTGTGTGTGTGTGTGTGTGTGTGTGTATGGATGTGTCTGTTTACTGTACACATGCACATATGAAATGAAAGTGTGTAAATCTACACACGTTATTTAACATTCAATGTTTTTTTGGGTGAAGGAACAGGATAATAACATGTGGCAAGTCCGCCCCACGTCTTTGCTGCAACAAGAACCCAAATGCAGAAAGAAATCTTAGGGAAAAAAAGATGTTTGACATTCCCATATCGGCAGCCTTGTTAGTAGATGCTCGGTCAGTTTGGAAGTCCTTAGTCTTTGGTCAGGCGAATCTGCACTAGAGAGTTGTTAGGTGCCACAACATTTGCGTTCTCCTCAGAAGCTCGAAGAAATGCGTCAGTAATTCACCAATGAGTCGTAGCCTCTTTACATCCCTTTGGTTTCTGTCACAAGGCAGATGCCCAACAGCACAAGAGGAAGCAAGTCATTGGCTCCTGATTGAGTCTACCAGAGACCAAAAATAAATAAATAAATGCAGTTGTTACCAGAATCGTCTGTACCGGTGTATCACACAGGTCCTGCAGTTGCCGTGTTCAGCCACACGAGGCCGGTGTTTCATCAGGAAAAGACCTCTCTCTGTTAAAAAACAGCAGACAGGCAGCACAGGGAAGCAATCTGACCAAGTGGGGGATTTGGAGGTTGAAACACAGAATATCTTAGTGTCTTCTGTATCCTGTCGGTGTCTTGGTGTTGTTTACTAAAAGACAGTTGGAGTAGTAAAAGCAGGATGTTAAGCAGTGGTGACTGGTAAGGCAGCGCTCCTGGAGTAGCACCTGGGTTTACTTGGACCTGTGAGGGAGGAGAGGAGAGGAGAGGAGAGGGGATGAGAAGAGAGAAGAGGAGAGGAGAGGAGATGGGAGGAGAGGAGAGGAGACGGGAGAGGGGAGGAGAGGAGAGGAGAGGAGACGAGAGAGGGGAGGAGAGGAGAGGGGAAGAGAGGGTTATACAAAATAGATATATAAAATAGATTCCCCTTTATTGCTGCATGGATTTTAAAGTCAATGTTTATGTGAACCTCTTACATACAGTACATCCAGTATGTGAAACAGTCATACTGTACACTGTGAAATAAAGGATTTTGTGTACCTTTAAAGCTACTTGAAAGAGTTGAGTTATCAGTGAGAACAGTAAAGATTAAGAGGTTTATGATGAAGTACTTAGTGGTGCATTTGCTCAGCGACGTCCTTGATAAAATGATTCCCTCTGACAAATAAGCCTAACAACATAATGTTGCTTGATGAGGACATCAGAAGCACGTGTCCTGTGTATTTTATAAAACATAACTCAAGTGACAGCCTAACACCCCTCATGGGTATACTGGCTTTGATAATTTCCCACCAAAATATTAAGAACAAAAGAAAGAAAGAAATAAAATCCTAACTATATGTTTGGTTGCCAAAACTATATAACTGTTGACAAAGTGTAAATGGCAGTGCTTTAAAGAGAGACAATTTAACTGGTGAGAGAAGAAAAAAAAACAAATTCTTCCAAGTGAAAAGCTACAATCATAAGCAATAAAACACACTGTAGCTCTATTTGATATACTCAGGGATTTTGCTGCTGCAGCCTTCTTTGGTCTGATCAGTAGCTTATGGTGGCTAATATTAGCAAGGTTTGGCTAGACTGACTTTGTTTCCCAGACTTTATGCCACTTGTGCTACTGTTAAAATTAACAGTAACAATTACAGGTGAACAATTAATCGTAATTTGATCACAATCAGAATGAGGCGGCTGCAATTTTCAAATCGCAGGAGGCGCAAAATTTGTTAAAGGTGAAATGGGCATCAAAATACCATTGTACATTAAATATCGTCCTGGCCTACACATCATATTCTACAGACAGAAAACATCCTTGTTTGGTACAGATCCCCGCAAAACTCACACCATCATTTGAATATATTTATCAATTAAAATAATAATGATGTAAAAATGGTCACTTGCTCTTATATTGCAAAAAATATCGCAATTGCAACATGAGTCAAAATAATCACAATTAGATATTTTTTTCAAAATTTTTTAGCCCTTGTAACAATTACTGTTATGTAGTATATGTCCAGTTTGTCGTTCTATATGTTTATATGTTACTCCTCCTTTTCCTCTTGTGAAACTGCGTGCCTTGTTTAGTTTTTGCTTTGATGTATTTTAGGAAGCATTTTTAACACCCTGGCTTTAGCTAAATGCTAATAATATAAACAGGTTATAGTAGTTGTTGTTTAGCATCTAGCATTTTCCTGTAACTGATTTATTAGCACAGAGCTATAGCTTTACTAAATACAATTCTTCTGGCTGTAGCACTGATACCAATCTACCACTAATTTCAGTATCCTGGATTCCTGAAGACATTTTCTCCACTGACATTTAATAAGGTACTAATATAATTGGTATTGAGCTGTATACGAAACCAACTATCTACAAGTGCAACCAGGAGAACCAAATCATGAGGTTGTAACAACAGAATATGTTGCAGAAAATGCAGGAATAAATAATCAGTCGTGGGCTCTGTTTTGTTATTTAATATTCACATTTTTAGGTTGTTACAATGTGTTTGTGATCATTCTGAACTCTCATTTGAATGCACGTGGATAAACCCATGGTTTTGGAGGTCAACAAAAAGTTAATTTTTTCTTTGCACAGAAGTGCATTTTTCTACAAAATTCTGGAGGCGGTGATTGTTATTGTTATTTTTGCGTATATATGTGTTAGGTGTGTGTCTGATGAGAGAGAGAGAGAGAGATATTTCCATTGGGATGGTACAGCTGATGTTTTTCTTATTGGTCCCTCTGGCCAGAGCCAATAAACACCAAAGTAAAGGGACAACTGCTGGGGAACAATGATAGCATATTGATGGCGTAAGTGTAAGCTTACACTTACACTTACATTAATGTGCAAGCACAAGATGTCTATCACCACATTTACCATGTGTCTAGATGTTTGTGTGTACAGTATGCAGTGTTTGAGTGTGTGCGTGCAATGTGTGCGTGCCTGCATCTGTGTGTGCAGTATATTGTATTCAAGCTGCAGCTCTTGTGTGAGTGTGTGTTTGCAGCGATTATCTTGGGGGTTGATGATTTATGATCTATGTTATGACTTCCACAGGGGACATATAAAACTACAGAATGGCCCTTTATTGCCTTTCTTCTTTGTTTAGTTCTGAGTTTCATCCATCGCTCTGTTTCTCTTCATCCCCTGCCTCGCTCTCTCTCTCTCTATCTACTAGTCTCTCGCCCATCTTGGTCTCAATTTCTCCTTCTGTGCAACAAACAAACAATACATGTTTCACAAATGCTCTGCGATTCACTAGCAAACACAGTGTGGTTTTTAATTACAAAACACCATTAAGAAAACAAATGCATTTTGTTTTGCAAATACAAAAAAAACACACATATCACACAAATAAACAACATATTTCTAATACATCAAGCCTCAGAAACAAAGGATTTTCTCCCAAATGTCCTGAGTAATTTCACCCTCACCAACAGCAGGTGGTATCATCCTACCCGCATAACAGTAACTTGTGGAGTTCAGTTAACATTTGACTTTTTCACCAGCAACAACCACGCACTCACCTGTTGTTTAATTTAGCTTAGTCTCGGATAACTAGACAGAACGCCGGCATCTGTTCAGTCTGCTCTCCTCAACCTTCTGGTGTGTTTACATGGACTCATTCAGCCACCTCCGGCTGTGGAGGCCGAAATTAAATCAAGACATTTGTGAAAAGATCCTCAGCACAACCACGACGGAAAGATTGTGCCAAAAGTCATGTGATATATAATTTTTTGTCTTTGTAGGATATATTTGTTTGCATTTGTAAGCCATGCTGTCTTTGTTTCTAAAGTGGGAGGTATTAGAAATACATGGTGCATTTGTTTGACTTGTATGTTTTGTATTTGCAGATCAAAATGCATTAATTTGTTAATCAGGTTTTGTACTTGCAAACCACACTGTGTTTGTTAGTGACTTGTAGGGCATTTGTAAAACATGTTTTGTTTATTTGTTAAGTTTTGGCAAGAAATTAGCTCCATATCCTTCTTCATCTCTCTCTCTCTGTCCGCCTGTAATGCGCTCTGGCTCTTTTCTCTAATAAAAACAGCTATTGATCAGCTGTCTGCTGCACATCAGCCGAATCACCATTACTTTGTATCGTTGTTTGTTACAGTGGTGTAGCTTTTGCTGTATTGCCCTGGCGTTTTCCACAGGATGAAGTGAGACAGTGAGATTGATGCTGTCTAAGCCTGGACTCATTTTGTGTTATCCTATTGGCTCTCTCCGGCCTAAGAATAGCTGAAGGTCTCCATGAAACTGGAATCTAGCGTTTGAGTCTCAGGAAATCATAAGAACTAGACTCTAGCCTTCATAAATACAAAATAAAAGCTTCCAAAACAACAAAACCAATCAATCTGGGTAAAATAGCTATTTGATGAAACACAGCTTCAGCAAGAATAAGATTAAGGATAAAGTGGCTTTCATTGCATACCACACCTTTATTTGCCACGTGTGAGGGGAGTGATAAAATCCTGAACACTGGTAACTGATGAGACCTTGGGCTGATAAATGATAAGCCCGTATGCTGATACAGCGGGAATGTGCTTATATCATCCTCACTGCAGAACTCAAGATATCAAACACGGATGAAAATGTGTCCCTAATCGCCGTACGCTATTGATGGTGGGCTAGAATTTAAGAGGGCGAGACCTATCAGGGTCTCCCGCCCGAGGGTCAGGAGTGGAAGTTAGGAATGAAAACTGGATTTCTGATCACTCTTTACACTATTTCATCCTCATCTTTAAGTCTAATGTCTGTGTGTGATAAAAACGTCATCAAAGTATTCAAACAAGGAATCTGCACGTGAATGTACAGAGTGTAACTATACTTACATGTACATGGGCTGTAGTTGAAGGTGGGAGGTCTTCTGAGGCCCCTGGTAACCGTACGAGTCGAACCCTCCTATAAAATCAACTGCACAAAAACAACATAAATTAGAGAAAGGGTATGCCATTGTGGTTATCAGCTGGGAACCTCCCACCACAGATGATTCATTGCATTAGGCCTCCTACACCTACAGAGGTCTCAACAGTACATTTTGTACCAGAACCACCAGCTCTAAACTGCTTTGAGTGAAAATTTGGCCTCAACTGTATAAAAATCCTGTGATGCAAATTTAATTCTGCTTTTTAATTCTACGACTTGTGCAGCGATACATTTATGCTTTGAGAATACTCTTAACTCCTAAATTATCTAGGATAGCTCCAGATTCCTGGGCTCTGGAGCTGCTGGCAGGTGGTTGACTGAGGCAGAGAGCCTGGACATTTGAAGAGAGGAAGCCATGATATTTTTTTACTTTGATGTTGTAGAGCTCACAAAAGGGTACCTCCTTGCCTTGATCACCAGCATACTTTCTTATTTATTCAGTGAGATTTCATAACATCAAGTACAATGTGAAATTTGGCTGTCACTGCAGAGATGAAAGAAGCTATAAGTATATCTTAGGCTGCAATAAGCAGGGATATAAAAATATTTGATTGCCAACAAATGCACTGATTACACTGATTAGTTTGTGTATGACTATTAAAAAACACCATACACTTCATACATCAATATGCATGTGGCTGCTATGTATTCATATCTTTACATCTCACAATGACTAGGGCGGTGACTATAATGCTGTAACTCTCTTTTAAAGGAATAGTTTGACATTTAGGGAAATACACAGATTCACTTTCTATTTTTTTGATCAGTTGTAGTTAGATCTCAGCATTCAGTCGCTTCATTTATCCAACGAAGGTTAAAAATCAAGGGCAACTGGACTTGGTTGAAGATACTGGAAGACGTTTCGTCCCTCATCCAAAGGACTTCTTCAGTTCTGACTGACTGGCAGGGAAACTCAGCTATTTAACCTCAGTGGGGTCGTTATCCCGGGTCATCGATACCACTGGTTCGTTAGTGTTCGTTAGTGCCCTTGATTTTTAACCTTCGTTGGATAACTATGACCTGGATGACTGAGAATCTTCATAGACATCTCTTCATTTAGTTTTGTTTATATATTTAACTCATTGTATTTTGTCTATGTGTTAATTTGTAATGTATTGTATTTTAACTTTTGTCTTCTGTAGTGTTATGTATTTCAGTTCATGGTTGAAAAATTTTCGTTTTACTGGTGACATACAGGACTCCCTTGTAAAAGAGACTGTGTCTCAATGGGACTTTCCTGTTAAAATAAAGGTTTAATAAAATAAATTGCCAAGAGTTAGATGAGAAGATTGATATCTCTCTCATGTCTGTACGCAGTATATGAAGCTTCAGCCAGCAGCCGGCTAGCCTAGCTTAGTATAAAGACTGGAAACACGGGGTAACAGCTAAACTGGCTCTGACAGGGGTTTAAATACATTCAGTACCGAACTCGCCTAAAATCACGAAAGAAATTTTACATTTTGGTTTTTATACGGATTAAACAAACAAGACACAATACAAATGAGTACATTTAGAGGCCTTAGTAGGCGGTTTTATCTTTGAATAGAGCCAGGCTAGCTGTTTCCCCCTAAGCTAAACTAACTAGCTGACAGCTCTAGAGTCAACAGACAGAAATGAGAGTGGTATATAACCCTTGGCATGGCAGCGAATAAGCGTAGTTCCCCAAAACCTGTCGCACTGTTCTCTTAAGAAAAATACAACTTTTTTTCCAAAACAACATTAGACTGAAGAAAGATTTTAACAAGTAGCATGAAAATGATTTGTCTTGTTTTATCACAGAGTTGGAGTTTTTAAGAGCCCTTCAAGTCTATCAGGGTATCTGTACTCACATAACTTTCTTGTTCTTTTAATTCTGTTGACGTTATTTTAAAATTCACTACAAGCCACCACATCTTCGGTGTGACACACTTCTCCCTTAATCCTCTTAATGTATTCATGTGAAATTTTGATTCCACCACACAACGGGACAATGGATGATCTTCTTTGTCTATCAGCAGTTTTCCTGGACCACTGTAGGTCTCCGATATTTCATGACCATTCAGCTCATTATGGTTGCTCCGTCAGACAATGCAGAGCCATTGCCTGTGCTTGATGTCCTCCTTCTTTGTGTGGATCCTTTCGTGGGAGAGTGGCCCGGTGTAAACGTTAAGGGTTTCCTGCTGATTCATGCTGCAGTCAAACAGTCTCAGAACAGTTTCTGCCAGGCTCGACCCTTTGAACGCGAGGGGAAATGGAGCCTCTAACCTTGTCAGCGTGTGCTGCCTATCAAAGTGTAGCGACATCATTTAAAAATTCAGATGTTATTCATGAGGCACCGGGTTTGTCCAATGAGCACGTAAGAACATGAACATGGACAATTCTCTCCAGAATCCAGAAACTGCTGACTGATCTATAAACATTTTATGTGACAAAAGGGTCAAGTTATTATGGTAACTGGTTATTTTCCAGTTGTGAATGTTCACATTTTAACTGAAGTGTCCTAACACTTCCAGACTTATCATACAATGATTGCAGTCTCAGGGTTTGTCTGTATACATATATATACATGTGTGTGTTGTTTGTGTGTGTATGTTTGATGACACATTCGAGTAGCTGTGAGAATTACTTCAATGATTCATCTCCCACGCACACCACCACACACACACACACACACACTTAAACACACACATACTGTACTCCCTCACGCGTGCACTGAATAACTATCAGAGTAATTAGCTTCCTCAGCAACTCAAAATCTTCATAGGTCCTCAGTGAGTATTAGCTTCTCCACCCAAGGCACATTCCCCAACAAATCTCCCTGATTATTGTTTAGTCTCCCGGTCTGCATTATCGCACAGCACTTTCCACAGCCACGTTCAGGAGTTAAGGCTCGGTAACAGGAAGATTACAATGAATCCCAAAATTATTCTGGAGAAAATGATCTTTTTTATCACATGGAAATAATGCATGTGGCCTGGCGCTGCCATTGTGCGCATATTCATTAAGCCTAAATAGCGGGCTGAAACCTCAATTTGAATCCTGATTCCTTCTGATAATATTTGTCCCTTGAGAAGAAGAGTGAAAGTCACTCATGTGGCTGACAGCATTATCGCTCATTTGTTTGCAGTTCTCCAGCTGTTCGGTCCCTTGTCTCCTCCCACAGTCCAAAGACATGACATTTAGGTGAACTGGAAGCTCTAAACTGCCACATTTATAGGTGTGAATCTGAGTGTGAATGTGTAAGCCCTTGGATAGACCGGCGACCTGTCCTGGGTGTAACCTGCCTCTTGCCCAATACATGCTAGGCTCCAGCCCCCCAACACATTTACCAGCATAAGTGGCTCACAAAATGGATGAATAGGCGGTTAGCAGATGATGACTGGCGGTGAAAGTTCCTGGAATTTGTTAAAGCCCCTGAAAACTTTGTTTCAAATGATTTCTTTACAACATTAAATATTCATGACTAAATAAGATACAATCGTAGTTAAAGTCTGGGGAAAGGGTCAGTAGACATTTTTTATGAATTTAACAATCAAAAACTCTAAAAGCTAATGACTGTGAGAGGGTGGTGTCATCAGATTTGATTGATAGTACTGGCAACTTGAGAAAACAACCACACAACCGTCATGTTTCAATACAAATGTTGCTAAACTTTGACTGGTTCATGTAAATATTGTACATTGTGATATCATCTTTTCCAAACCGAATGCCGCCCACTTCAAACCAGTGAGAAAAGCAAGCAATCATGTAAAATAACCAATTTATTCTAACTTTGGCAGAAAATAGTGTGTCTTTGTAGTACTTCATCACTTATAGTAAGAAGCTGATTCTAGGTTTTGATGGTCTATAAATAAGAAATTAATTGATAACGGTTATAATTTTCTTCTTACAATTTCAGTTGTTAGATTGTAGATAAGAATGATTTAACACAGGGGTTTTCAAAGTGTGAGTCGGGCCTCCCTGGGGGGGCTCTCCAAACAGTTTCAGGGGAGGCTCAGTGAATGGAAGTGAAACAATTACACCATTACTTATTGCATTAGTTATCAAAAGGAGATCACATAGAATAGCCTACGTGTGAGAGTTCAGAGATAAAGTAGTTTTTGGGAACTGTTTTCCCCCCATCAGAGTCGGAAACTATTAAATGCCTTAGGACAGACCTTTTTTAAAACTATGTGGTGTAGTCAGAAGTTATGTCAAACAGCAATATTGGGCTATTTTGGCTTAAATGCTGAGTGTATATGGGATCAAATAATATAATCATGGTCCCATAGGCATCCAGGAATTGAGCGAAACTTAAAGTTAAACTAAAGATGTGGTGGGGGGTGCCACTTGCCAAGCTTTGTCTGAGGGGAGGCCCGCAGTCTCAGACATTGAAAACTCCCAATTTAACAAGTAAATGCCCTAAGCAGCACTTTACATGCCACTAGAACATAAACTCTGCATACACAGCATTTTACTCCTGCTCTAGCTCATCTGAAATTGTTGTTAAAGTCCAACAAATTCACTATCTGGGTGCAAACGAGCAGGAATGTGCAGCATCGAGAGCCAAGGACAAAAAATAAAAAAGATGATCAAAGGCCAAATGATACATGAATTATTTAGACGCGGAACAAGTGGCATTTTAGGTTTCCTGTCATCACAAAGCTTATTAAAGTGCGATGTTAAAAAATTCTCATCTCAAAATAACCCCCCAAAACTCAATTATATTCCATAAAAGTGGAATAAATACAGTGTTACACCCCATATTACTATTCTTACTTTCAATAACAGTCTGATGATTTAATATTTATCTATGACCTCATTGAACAAAGAGGTTGTTCTGTCTTTCTGAAGAGTCTTTAGAAACAGAAGCAGGCCTTGTATCTGGTGCTGATCAACCCCCCGTCCTTGTATCTCAATTTCCCAATCTGCTTTGGGCAGGAAGGAAAGCAGGAAATCTCAGAGCTTCAGATTATTTCCACAGATCCAATACTGCATTTATTATCTATCAATATTTATGTGTTAGCAAACAGCATCCTCAATTCAGTGTTGAATAAGACATGCTTGAGTATTGATCCTTCCGCATAAGCAGTAGGCTGCAGCTACGCTAATGGAATAACTAAACTGATGGCTTTAGGTAAATTGGCTCATTCAAGTTAATGCTCGCAGACACGCACTGCATTAAAAATACAACAATCACAGAATTAACATGTTGATTTGCCTCATTTTCCCTTTTACACTTCAAATGCAATTCATTTATTTTGTTATAATGCTTACTAAATGGTAGTCAATGTTGCATACTTCCCAATCAACGTGGTTGTACTGATGAATTGATGTACTGATAAAAGACTGAATGAAAGAGAAATGATGTACGAACGGATGGGTGAACATCTTTTGCTGGTCTTTCCCTCCTCATCCTTTTCAGTTTTCCCTGTGACTGTTGCTTGGTGATGGTAGTTGAAAGTAGTAAGCGCAGTAGGTGGGAGGGACGTATGAAGGAAAAACAACTTTGATCTAGCATAAATCTACCTAGCTCTCCCCATACTTCAAACTCTCTCTCGTCTCCATGTGTTACTGTAAATGAATGAGCTGCTGGCTGCAAAAGCTGGAGGCTACAAGTTTCACTTTGAATTTTGTCTAAGGTTCGGTAAAGGCCGTCAGTCTCAAGTCATGGCTTCATTCAAACCGGCTGCTTCGTTACAAAGATAGCGAACCAGAGTACAAGCCGGGAAAGAGGGATGGAGAGAAAACAGAGGAACAGATTGAATTCACTTAAGTTAGAGTTGATTCCTGAACTCAGAAGCACCAGCCACATACACTTAAACCACCCAGACCTACCAACAAATTATTCCAAAAGGACAGTTAGCTAAACCCCTCCACTGAACAGCAATTGTCCAATCAAAACTCAAATCACAACCGTAACTAATCATGGCAGGTCTGCCAAGCTTTGGATTTCTACATATGTTAAAACTGTGTGTATGGGGCTGTAGTAAGAGCGATACATGACATTTAAAGAGTTTGGAGGGTGGTGCATTTTCTCAACCTTTCCAAAACCAGAAACACAAGAGCAAGTGTAAGGTGGGGAGTAAACAGTGTATTGATTTGCTGTTATGTAAGCTGCAATTCCTGCTAACTAGCTTACTAGATAGTAGTAAGCAGGGGTTACTTCCCTGGCCAAGGAGCAAATCATTAAATGCAATAACTACAATAGATTGTGCAGTCACAGGTTACATTATTGTAAAGTAAACATCGCTCAGCAATTACCAGAGATAGTCAAAAAAAATTAGGTGCCAGTACGCCCCATTCACATGTTGGCGTATGTATCGGCAAGTCTGAATTTACATTTATCCTTATTACAGTTACAATACTACGACTAACTAGCTCCACACTGCAATACAAGAACAATGATGTTTCATGTCCATGTCTTCTGCATGGCTAATCAGGTGGCTGACATTTAGCCTGCAGCCTGCAGCTTTACCCTCAATGTTTTAGCATAATATCATGTGTGAAGCCAAGTGCATAGTTAATTCAATAATAATGCAATAAAATTAGTTCTCATTTTAAAAAAAAAACCAAAGTTAGTAGAAGATGGAGTTTCAAACAAAGTCTTTGACTTTGCAGTAATCAATTAGCTCAATTAGCTAGCTGCTAGCAGTTGTAAGAGTAAAAGTTGTAATTCCAGATGGCAAAATCCACGGTAGCCGGCTAGAAATGACGCCTGCTTTTTTCTACCTCTGTCAAGGACCAATTGCTCCAAAAATGACTAAGCATTTTAATGATGCCTCTGATATCGTTGTAAACTGCATGTGCCAGGCTAGAATGAAAAGCTTGACAGGCGTAGCAACAGTGGCGCAGCCCGAAGAGTGACAAGAATGACAGTTGACTGATTGAGAAACAGTGATTTTTACTACGGATATAGACATCTATTTTTCTTTTTGGTTCCAGCTGTAAAATGTGTGTGTACATGCATGTGTGTGAATGTGTACTTACAGCTATCCTCCTCTTCTGAAATGAGCTTGACCACATAGCAGGCGTAGATAAACCCCATCAACTAGAGAAAAGGAGAGCAGCAAAAACAGAAGAGGGGTTATTCTTTTGTGTGAGACAGAAAGAGGCAGACAGTTAGACAACAGAGGAGGCATGGACATTGAACAAATTGTTGGAACAGATAGAAAAAACAGGTGTTGGTGTAAGTGGAGCAGAACAGCACTGTGGTGTTTTGCTCCAAAATAGAGCACTTGAATCAATGGACACACACACACACACACACAAACTGAATGTCAGGCATCTTCAATGACAACCACAAGGTTAGCCTAAAGTTTCATGGTTTCAGAGCTGTATTGACACTGTTTTAATACACATCTTCAAATCTTACAACTAACAAAAAAAAGGAATTGTCACAACTGTGTCTCCATCATGGCCTTAACATTAGTGAGATTGCAATCACAGAAATTGAATTTTCCAGTCCCTCTATTGCTTTTGTATTACGATGTGGAGGTAGATAAGTCTGTATTTGCTACCGTCAAAATGAAAAAAACCCTCACCCCACCACTCACACCGACAGGGCTTTGTTGTGTTGGGCTAGCTGAACTCATGGGTGTGCCTCCCATTGTTTTCCCTCATGGTCTCACCTCCTTTTGAAGCCATTCACAAACCCAAAAACAATAAACGTCTGCAGATTGAATCAAAAAGGGGCTACAGTGCTATGTTTTTGTGTCGTGTGATTGTTACCAAAAAAAAAGATAACTATTAAATGTTTCTGTGTGTGTGCAGTGTTTAGACAGTGATATAGCAGTCCACACTAGCAGAACACCTTTGCTCTCTGATCTGCGCTCCCATTGGCTGGCTGTTTCCAAGGCGACCTGCAGGAGCTGGCTGATTGGAGCAAAGATGCAGGAAGGTGCGTTCAATGTAAGGTCAGCTTCTTAGTGACCTTATTACCCAGCAATGATCGAGGAGGAAGGAGAGATAGAGAGGGACAGAAATGTGGTAAGAGAGGAACATACAGGCAGACAGTGATGGAGCTTTATGTGTTTGTATGAGGCATTAAATTAACACACTGCCTTGAATACAGAGGCTTTATTGCTCAAATAAGGCTTTAAGTGTAGGAAAAGTGACATTGACCTGCTGGTATTCTATTGACTATATGGAGACATGCCAGCACACAAACACAGAGCCATGCACAAGCACGTAAACACACAGTGAGCTGCAAATGTGAGCAGCTACATTTGAGATTCAGTGTATATCTCAAGGTCTTGACCTCATTTAGTCTAAATAATGTTCAGCTCCCAAAGCACCTCTCTCCTCCCTCCATTTCTCATACTTACTCCCTCTCTCACTAGTTCCTTCCTGCTTCTGTTCCTTTCTGTCTTCCTTCACTATCTCACCATTGTACCCTTCCTACCCTCCCTTTTCTTTATTTCTCCCCTCTCCCCCTATTTCTCTCAGATTCGCCACTGTCTCTGACAAGTAGATGAGTCATAGAAATACAGTGTTTTGCTCAGAAGGGGATGAATTTACTTAAAGCTGAGTCAAATACTGGAAGCAGACAATACTGCCAGTATCAGCATGGGGATCGGTGATGAGAAAATCAGTTTGGATATATCAGAAATACTTTAACCAACAACCACAAGTCAAAGACGCTGATAAACTTAACAGGCTACAAAATCTCAGTAGTCACTACCATTGACAGCAGTTTAGCAGAATTATTTTGAAAAATCAAGATGATCTAAAGCAGTGCTTGAATTTTCCACTTCCTGGCAAAATCCCTGGATGCTTTTTACATTTTACTTTGGAAGCTCTGTTTTGTCATCATCTGACTCTGTTTGTGTTCTCTTTGTGCCCTTTTGGAGCCAGGCGTTGTAAGGTTTATGTAATGTTACTTAGACTAGCCGCCAATAGAGGAAAGGAGGCAGGCGAGAACATGAAATGTTAAGCGTAACGTATTGCCCCCTGGGTAATGCAGTTTAATTAGGGCCATTATGAATCGCCCAGAGAACCTGATATGGAAAGGGCAGAAAAGAGTACAGGGTACAAGTAGTTTGTGAGAAGTGCTGGTGCCCAAGAAAAAGTCACAGTACACCAAAGACTAAAATGTAGAGGTTCCAGTACTGTGTACCAGTGAGTACCAGCCCACTTCTAGCACTGATCCCAAGCCACAGCCTGCCTTTCCAGCTAAGATGATTTTGGTAGAGGTATTCACTTAAAGTCAAAATGTTGTTTAAAAGGCTTTCAAGAGTTGGGGGAGTTTTCTGTCATATGCAGTAAAAGCTGAACCAGAGGCCGTTCTGTCTTCTGCAGGCTCATTGCCTCTGAAAATGACTTTTGGGTGCAGTTTTGTTAGTACCACTGAACAGAGTACAGAGAGTTGTGCAGACCTCCAATAGAGAACGCTTGATCAGCTGTGACAGACGGCGTTTCTCTGCACATCAATATCCTGTTAATATTCTGGATACTCTCAAGTATTCCGTTTTGGTGTTGCTGCATGTAAACATAATATCCTGTTTACAATAAATCTGATTAAATCTTCTCCTGATGTGAAGAAACCCAAATAAGATAGCTGGGAGGCACCAATATTAGCTATGGAGCTGTAATGTGTCTACCTTATCTTGTTTATTGCTGGAGTTCTGAGTCCAAGTAGGCTTGGTGCTTGTAGCTATGTGTGGTAAGTATCTGGCATTTTTAGTTTTGCAGGGCTAAAAAGTTCCCCAAAAATATTTTATATCTAAAGTACATAATAAAACCTTCTGGAACAGCTGCTGATATGACTTAGATTAAGATCAAAATCAAATAGACAACCATCCATCCATCTCTTAGCCCACACAGTATTCAGACTACACTGACATTCTCCTTGAAGGTAACTTTATTTCATTTCTAGTCTACAATATTTTACTCACGGTGACTCATACAACGAAACTCACAGCAGTCAGATTATAATATTGTCACCAAGTGAAATGATAAAAGCAAATATGAGGAAGTTTTACCAAGGGTTAGGGTTGAGGAAAAATTAAGCTGTGGGGATTAACAAATCACTTATATACTAATATCCATAGATGTAAGAATAATATTCAGTATATAGTATCAATATTTATTAAGTGATTTGGATTAATTCCATCGCTTACAGTTTTGTCTTTCAATCTTACGGCTGACAATAAATCTGCTGTCAGTGTCAACAGATACTTCCAGCCTGAATGTATCACACTTTGATGATTTCCCATTCCTTTCAGTTGAGTCTTCAACTCCCTTCAGACATAATCTTCACTTAACAATTGAACACTTCTTATTCAGCACTTGCACTTAAACTTCAAACTCTTTCAACACTTCCATTTAGACAACCATGTCTGCTTTTTTCACTTATTGTATTTTGAATTCCACTTCAACTTCCTTCAGTATTTTAACAATTTCAGCAAATTTCTAATTTTTGCAACAGTGAGCACACTCAAATGTTCTTCAGAAACTTTTCTAGTTGTAAACTCTGTTTGAGGAGCTAATGATTACTTAACAATTAATAATGACCAGTGTTTGTGTGTGTGTGTGTGTGTGTGTGTGTGTGTGTGTGTGTGTGTGTGTGTGTGTGTGTGTGAAAAAGAGAGAAACAAAATATATAAAAAATAATATAATAATATTTTAAGCTTCTCCCGTGTTTCTCTTTGTTGTTGTAGACATATCATCCCTGGAAAGTCTGTCTGCATTTGGACGGACTGAATTAAAGAGCTGCTCCCAGGTTTCTCAGACAGATGCTGGTCCCTCTTATACATTTTGTCTGTGGATTAGGGTTACCTAGTTACCGCAGCAAAACTGAGCGATGTTCGGTGTGACAAGTGGAAATGGAAAAGGAAATAGCACCACTTCAGCACGGACAGGATCCCTGCCCTGATCAGCCTTTTACAACTTGTAAAACTTCACCACATCACCTCACAGAGACATGTACCTCATTCAGAGCAGATGCATTTCATGGGGTTTTATGTGCATGGTGGCGCACACTATCCCAGGAGGCAGGAGGACAGTCTTCATCAAATCTCTTAAACATACTGTGCAGCAGGTGCTTGTTGCCATGGTAAACAATGTAGTTAGCTATGCAACAGTGAGTCAGAAAACCTCCTGGCATTATCTTGAAGCAGGGAAGAGTAATGGTATGGGTAACAGACTGTCAAATGTACATGTTCTTGCCGCACCACAACAGTTGACCGTAACATTTTTTCAATTCAGAGCTAGAACAGAATGTTCTGAACAAATGTTTGCAATGATGATGACTGAAAAGTGGGCTTCCAGCACTGCAGATACACCCTCTAGTTTCTTTAACCATAGTGGTATTTAGCCTGTTAGTATGCTAACATTGCCTAATACAACTGAGGCTGATGGGAATCTCAACAGTTTTGCGGGACATTAACCAAAATATTGGACAAATAAAAATGTTGACCTGCGCTACATGGATAGTTAAGGGACCAGTAAAGTTATTACAATTCATTCTGAGGGGATACTGGTGTCAGTACCAAATTTCATGTCAGTCCATGAGTTGTTGAGACATTTTGCTCAAAATCACAAATGTGAATCTCACGGTGGTGCTAGAAGAAAACAAGTCAGGGGATCACCAAAGTCGTCCTAAAGTTGTTGAGATATTTCAGTCTGCATCAAAGCAGTGCACTAAACAACCAACCACAGGCAGCGACTAACATCCCTAGAGCCACACAGTGAAATGAGATCCTAATATTAGGGGTGTGACATAGCTATTTTAACACATCTCGACACGAGATCTCGTCACATCCCTACCTTACATACAATGGCTATTTGTACTTTTACATTTAATAGAAAATAAATCTATGTGATAACTACAGCGGAATTTTAAATTGTGCATTGTTTTTCTTTCTTTTTAAACCAGAGTAATGAACACACAGTATCAGGATATTTGGAAATTACTAGATTTATTACATTGAATGCTTTATTATTGGTGCCCAAAATGATCAAGAGTCCCATAAAAGGGTAGAGCTACATCTGCCATGTGGCAAGGAAATGCCATTAAGCTAAAAAAGATAACTGAATCATCATTCTCTC